GTCGAGACGGTCATGCGTTCGAAAACTTTCATACATCATCGCAATGATTTGTCGTCCTTTGATGATCTTCCCTTCGGGCCTGCTGATGTAATCGTTGGCCTTCCGGTTCACCTCCAGGTACAGATCAGCGGATTTGTCACCACCAGCGCGTAGCATTGCGACCATGGCGACTCCCAATTTGACGTCTATGCTCTTGAACTTCTTGTGACCTGAATCGTTCAGTGCTTCGACATCAGGGAATGGATTGAACGCTGGTGCCAGCCATAACATCCAGTCCTCATGATTTGGGTCGGCTGATGCTCCTAGGACATTCGCCGTGCATACGGACCGCCAGTTGTTCAGGTGAGTGAGAGTAGGCCATGGAGGGACTGTCACTTTATCGGCCTCTCTCCTGGAAATTCTCACCTCCGTGACCTCAGGATCTGCGTCTCCATCGGGATCACGTGCATGAGGGTCAGGATCCGGTTCAGGTTTGCCTCCGCCGTTCTTCTTCTTATCATCATCGTCATCATCAGGCGGATCTGGAGGGTCATACCCCGTGCCGGCCCCTTCATCTCGCTCTCCCTCTTCGTTCTCGTCGCCAGCTTCATCACCATCATCGTCTCCATTGTCTTCCTGAATCGTTTCAGCGAATAGTCTCCACTCATCACGATCAGCTCTGAGACGTTGTTCGGCTTTCTGGGCCTTGAGTACTTCGCTTCGCAGATCAGCAATCTTCTCTTCGTACTGTTCCGCGACCTCTTTCTCGATCTGACGTCTCCTTGCCTCATGGATGGAAGCATCGTAGGTGACAGGGGCACCATTGGGGTCGTTTCCCCTCTTAGATGCGATAATGCCGTCGATACCAACAGGTCTTGAGGAGCTGGCAGATGCCGTGGACTTCGATCCCAACATCCCGCGATCCTCCAAGAGTTCACGTAGCTGTCGGTCACGCACGGCTGCCGCATCACTTTGCCCATGAAATCCGCTTGGTATGCCAAACAGAGTGGCTGCACTGGGCGTGGAACGCGCATGTGCTGGACTGCTAATGCCTGGCACGTAGTGCTCGGGCATTGCATCCGCCACGATTGGCGTTGCGTAGGATCTATCTACCTCACCTTTGATGCGGCCAGTGAAGAAGTTTCCACCGGTAAATGGGATGCCATCCATCGCAAGGTTCTTGTCCTTGTCCGATTCCGAGAATGCGAACTTCTCTTTGGCGACTGGACTAATTTGACTTGGGGACCGTATTTCAGGGGATCGCACCTCACCTCCTACGGAAAATGCAGGCACTACTTCCTTTCCTACGTGCTCCCAGCCAGACTCAGTAGTCCTCGAAGACATGGGCATGCTCGAAGGCCGTGTCACTCCGCCATGGTAGTTGGAGTTCCGTGCTGCCTCCAATTCGCTGCGTGTCCTCGCTTGAAGATCTTCTTGTGCTTTGAGCGTTTTCCTGAGTTCGCTCAGCTCGTCGTGCAAGGTGGGCAATGCGCGCCTCGCATGATCCTCATTCTGATGAAGTCGGTCCTCTGCATCTTGCATCCTCCTCACAGCCATTTTGCGGTACTCTTCCTCCTCACCAAGACGTTCGCGAAGCCGAAGTCGTTCTTGATCAATGGCTGCGCTGTTTCCAGCTAGCCCTTGAATCTCGTTTACGGCCCGCAACTCCTGATTCCTGACCAGGTGGAATCGTTCCTGCATCGCTTGTAAGGCTTGTTCCGAACTTGCTGTGTTCGACCGGAGGAGCAAGTTCTCTCTGGCTTGTTCATGAAGTTCATGAGTCAGATGCTCATACTCACGTGCCATAAGTTCACCATCGCCTTGCGCTCTTGCCTCCAACTGCACAAAGTTAGTGGCTGCTTCCGTGCGGAACACATGTAGCTGCTGAGCCAATTCCTCGGCAACGGCGTGTGCTTGACGTTGTTGAGCAGAGTTCTGTTCATCCATGCGAAACAAAGCTGTTTCATAGTCTCGCTTCATCTCCTGATTGACATTGTTGATGTGCCTCATGGCTAAGCATGCATGGTCACGTTGTCGTTCCAATTCTTCGATGCGAATCCCAGATCCTTCATCTTCTTGCTGCATCTCCTTGATCTTCTCCATCAGGGTCTGAACAACACTTTCGTACTCCTGCACCTGACTTCGATAGTACATCTGCTGTGCAAGATTCGATGCTTCAAATTGTTGCGGAATTGTCAATCCCTGGTAGGCATTCGGACCATCGGCTATGGCTGGTGTAGTCACTGACGAAGCGTCACCCCGTGCAGGGATTGTGTCCAGAGTCATATCCAGACCGCCAGCTTCGCGTGGTTGATTGGTAACCATTCGATTCCACGTCATGGACTTGTCACGTCCACGAGTAGCCGAAGTCCTTGATCGTGCCGAAGAGCTTCTTGAAGATGATGGTCGCGGCTTCTTTTCCAAAGTCTTCACTCCCTTGTCCTTTGCCCTCGACGGGGTCCGAGGTGCCTGAAAACCAGACGCTTCGGATCGTCGTTCTGGAGCCTTGCTCGTCCTCGAACCTGTGGATGTTGGACGCGAAGGCGTAGATGCTCTTGGTAGACTCTTTGCTTTCACTTTGGGAACTCCCTTTGCAATGGCAAGCGCAGAAGATTGACCTTTGTCGTCTTCCGTGGAGCTATCAACGGATTGCACCACTGTGTCGTCAGCTGTTGACTCACCAACGGCTGGCGCTGCCACATCGGCACCGAAAGTCATTGTCGTATCTTGGCTTGATCCCGAGTTCATTGTGGTCGTAGTAGATCAAGTAGTCTTTGCTGCAGAAAGGCAGAGCCGCGTACGGCTGATAACCTGCGTGGGGATTTGATCCTGGTAATGCTCTGTATCGCTCACCCCACAAAGAGCTGTATTGACTGTTGGCGTGGTTGCCTTCTACAAGCTGGATCACCGTTACTTCCACTTCCACACACGCACTCCTATGCAGGCAGATCCAACGTTCGCTCCTTTTGCACACTCACGGCCGGCGGTGGATCGTCTGTGCACGGGATAGCTCTGTCTACTCGGAGGATCACAAAGATTATAGCACTTTAGCTATGGGCAATGCTTTCTAGAGCTTGTGCTCATTCTTGAGCCAAACGTTGCATGGGCGGTCATACTGAAAGGATGGATAGGCATTGCGGTGTGCGTAGCACTACCACAAGCCTACTCCTAGAGACGAGGGACGCGTAGCGTGCCCCCTTCCCTTGCACTTTACATGGTCTTGCTCACAGCTCTTATAGTGACACCTTGGAACTTGACAAGGCATCGCAGTCCGTTCGCAAGTAGTGATAGTAGTGGTAGTGGTAGTGGTAGTGGTAGTGGTAGTAGTAGTAGTAGTAGTAGTAGTAGCAGTAGCAGTAGCAGTAGTAGTAGTAGTAGTAGTAGTAGTAGTAGTAGTTGCGGTAGTAGTGGCAGTAGCAGTAGCGATAGCAGTGGCAGTAGCAGTACTAGTAGGAGGAGTAGTGGAAGTTCGTAGAAGTAGTTGGCGCTTAGTCGTTTGTAGCACATTGTTACTGGCTAGTCGTTAATCGCTAGTGGCTACTAGTAGTAGTAGTAGTAGTAGTCGTCGTAGCAGTAGCAGTAGCAATAGCAATAGCAGTAGCAGTAGCAGTAGCAGTAGTAGTAGTAGTAGCAGTAGTAGGAGTAGTAGTCGTAGTAGTAGTAGTAGTAGTAGCAGTAGTAGTAGTAGTAGTAGTAGTAGTAGTAGTAGGAGTACTAGAAGGTATTGGCAGTGGTGGTACCGTTCGTAGTAGTGGTAGTAGGGGTCGTCGTCATCATCGAACTATTTGTGCTGGCAGCGGTGGTGGTAGTAGTAGAAGTAGTAGGAGTAGGTAGTATCAGGTAGTTGTAGGTAGTAGCATGTAGTAGCATGTGGCAGCAGCAGTAGTAATAGCAGTAAGAGTAGTAGTCGTCGTCGTGGTTGCTGTCGTACCTAATTTCAACCTCGAAAATCGGGGGGTGGCACTTTCATATCTCTACTGTCACATTGGGGAAGATCGTGCTCCAGCTCTGGCTCTTGCTCCCGGCTCTGGCCCTTGTTTCTGCTCCAGCTCTCGCGCCTGTCCCCGCTCTTGATCCTGCTGCTGTCAGGGCTCTTGCTCTTGCTCCTGCCGCTGCTCTGGCGCCTGCTCCTGCTCTTGCTCCTAGCTTTGCTCTTGCTCCTACTCGTGCGCTTCTGCTATTGCTCCTGCTCTGACTTGAAAGATGGAGATGATTGCAAGGGGACTTCCCGGAAAGTGTCTTCAAACATGATACATCGAAGAAAGCAATAGCAGTAGCAGTAGGAGTAGTAGTAGTAGTAGTAGTAGTAGTAGTAGTAGTAGTAGTAGTGGTAGTGGTAGTGGTAGTGGTAGTGGTAGTAGTAGTAGCAGCAGCAGGAGTAGTAGTAGTAGCAGCAGCAGCACTAGTAGTAGTAGTAGTAGTAGTAGTAGTAGTAGTAGTAGTAGTAGTAGTAGTAGTAGTAGTAGTAGTAGTAGTAGTAGCGGTATACAGTACATTATCCCATATTTATAGTAGTATTGGTAGTAGCAGCAGTAGTAGTAGTAGAAGAAAAATAGTAGTGGTGGTGGTAGTGGTCGTGGTCGTGGTAGTGGTAGTGGTAGTTGTAGTAGCAGCAGCGCTCGTCGTCGTACTAGTTATACCAGTAGTGGTGGTGGTAGTAGTAGTAGTAGCAGGAGTAACAACCTTGAAAAGGGTTCGTCATTTGATTGAAATCCTCCACCTCCGTTCTGCTCGTCGCAGGAACACGACTTAAGTTGATACCAGTAGACAGTGACTTGATGCTGATCAACTAACGGGCCAATCCAGCGGATAGTTGTCAGCATGTCAACGATGAGAACGTAAGAACCACTTCCCGGACCCAAAATCCTTCGAAGACTAAAACCGGACATCCAGAAGACCTCAAGCCCTGCAGCTTTCAAGCCTGGGGCTGGTCTGCCAGGGTTCTCTCTTTCTTGAGTTAGTACGAACAGGAATCCGCAAGGAATTCCTCCTGCAGCTACTTTCTGCACAGCCCCAGTCGCTCAAGCATGGTCTGGCTGTGGCCGACAAGTGCGATGTTCACCTGTCGCTGCAAAGGCTCTGCCCTCTGCAATGTAAGAACCTGATCAAGAACCCCTCGGTTCATTTTGAGAGAGTCTAGTAGTTGAGAACCAGCTTTCAGGCTTGGCCTCTACATGGATCCTCTTCACGAACCTTGGCTCCTTCTGTTCCAGTTTGTGGACAACCCTGGCCATGCAGGAACAGCCCAAAGCTGCCACGAACCAGCAGCGACAAGTTTGGGCTAGGCTTTCTGGGGAACACTCTACATCTCATACACGGTGTCGTGCATCAGGGCTCTGTGAGAGGGTGCACGAAGCTTGATGTCAGTACATCCGGAAGCACCAGATCTCCATTTGCACGCAGCAAGATCCAAACATCGAAATTTTGCGCAATACCCACGGCAGCAACCTCAGAACTTGGGAAGAACTTATCACCGAAGCCGAAACAAAGCCCGGAGAGCGTCCCACGAAACTGTCAGAATGGCCTCGCCTCAGGGAGATCTCCTAGCATAGTAGGATCTTTGGAAATAGATGACTTATGGCTGTTGGGCGAAGTCTTGGAATTGTTTTTTCAGGATGTACACTGCGTCTGGCAGTGTTTGCAGACGAGACGTTTGCTTGCATCGACTCCCGATGCCGATGGAACACGACTGTCTGCAACCGACTTCGATTTTAAAAGAAACAGCCATGCCCCTGGGCCGTGGCACTGGGTAAACGCTACAGATTTCAGACCGGACACGGCGAAACGGAATGCGGTCGGTGCAAAATAAATACACTGCGCCGCACATGTTCAGCAACAGCAACTGGCCAACCGAATGCTCCTGCATCGACAGTCATCCGAATTCCGGGGCCCTTTCAATCCTACTTGGCTTGAGTTTATCTCGCGTCGTACCAAGCAGGCAGCACATGCATGCTGCTGTGCTGACCAGGCTGGTCATTGCATTCCAGAGCGATGCAAGTACCGGAGCAAGCAGCTCTGCTATAACCGGCAAATGTCATCTCGATCTGCGACATTCAAGTCGACTCCATACATGCAACGCGCACCCTGTGGCTTTGGGGCATCAAAAAGCTCTCGGCGCTGACATCCGTCGTCCTGAGACGTTCTGGTACTCCTCCCATGCAAAGTCCCCGCCGAGTCGGTAGCTCTCCTGGCACATGGGAATGTCTGAAGCTGCGGTTCACAAATTGAGAGGCTACGGAGGCCTGGACGCTCGAGAAGAGGTTTGTTTGGGGGTGGAGTGCTTCAGTGGTCCAAGGTTCAGGGGTAAGGGATTCCGAGTGTCTGACATCGCAGGAGGTTTGGCGAAAGACTGCTTCTGGTATGCAAGTGGGCAAAATGCAAAATCTACCTTCTTGCATGCGGCTAGACTCTGTACCAAACGGTATTACCGATTGCTGAGCACAGGTCTTCTGTCTCTGCATGGGCTTGAATCCTGCTAGGTCAGACTCGAGGCTTCAACTCAACTTCGACAAAAAACAAATCCCAAGGCACGACAAACTCGAAACACTCAGCCCCCGGAGCTCCGAACCTGGTGCACTGATAAAGCCTTAACCTCGAAGAACTTCACCTGCTCAGACACGGAATCTTACTCCCGCCTCCATCGCGCTGTTGAATGTCACGCCCTTGGCCATCAAGCCACGACTCCCGGCATGGGACTCCTGACGCTCGCTTCTTCCTGCTTCTGTTTCTAGTCGCCTTGTGACTCATGATTTACAGCTGCCGTGCTGACCTCGGGTAACTGTTTTACATTAGTTGCTAGTACTGCTGCTCTTGTCCGGACTAGCCTAATCAGTGCTGCGACTCTTGCAAGTACCGTATCACGGTCATAGCCTAGAAGCTGAAGAGCATGGAGATGGTTGATCTTCAATTTCAGGGACGGTCGCGGACGCTGCAGCCTTATTTACAGGGATCTGGCCTGCAATTTGGTACCGATTTCCCAAGTATGCTAGATCTTCTTTTAACTCGTATGAAGATGTAACACAAGATCCACGTTCCATGTTCAAAAAATGCCCCGGCAAGAACAAACACGAATGTTTCTAGGCCCGGCATTGTAAAGGAAAAACCCTTGCGCAGACGCTCAGCCCGTTTGATGCTTTGCTGCAGCAGCAGCAGCAGCAGCAGCCGCAGCGGCAGCAGCAGCAGCTTGGATATGATTCCAGGCTCGGCTTCGATATCAAAACCCCCTGTGCAAACGTGGGTGGATGCTCAACCGATTGATGCCTCGTAGCAGCTTGCATGCATACCAATTCCGGTATACATGCTCCACTGCTTCAACCATGGAATGAAAGGATGCTTCCAAGATAGCTTGCGGCTGCCTTAGATGTGATTCCTGAATGTGGATGCTTATCAGCACAGCAAGTAGAGACGGAGCGACTTGTAATCGTCGTCGTCATCGAAGTCGCAGTCGGAGTGTCAGTCGTAGTCACAATAGTAGCAGTAGTAGCAGTAGTTACAGTAGCAGTAGCAGCAGTAGTAGTAGTAGTAGTAGAACTAGTAGTAGTAGAACTAGTAGTCGTAGTAGTAGTAGTAGTAGTAGTAGTAGTAGTAGTAGTAGTAGTGGTAGTGGTAGTAGTAGTAGTAGTAGTAGCAGTAGCAGTAGTAGCAGTAGCAGTAGCAGTAGCAGTAGCAGTAGTAGTAGTACTACTGGTAGTAGTCGTAGTAGTAGTAGTAGTAGTAGTAGCAGCAGTAGGAGCAGGAGCAGGAGCAGGAGCAGGAGCAGGAGCAGGAGCAGGAGCAGTAGCAGTAGCAGCAGCAGCAGCAGCAGCAGCAGTAGTGATAGTACTTCTTTCGCAGTCTTGACATGACATTAGCAGCAGTGGCCGTAGCAGCACTTGCAGTTGCAGTTACAGAAGCAGCAGTAAGAGGAGCAGTGGTACTACGAGTACCAGTAGCAGTAGAGATAGCAGTACTATGTGTAGCAGCTATTCCTTCCACTTGGCAAACATCAAGACAAGTGATTTTTGAAGTTTACATAGCCCCGACTCACTCACACTCGCAGGTTGCAAGGCGTCCAAACATTTCAACGACTGATAACAAATGTCCTTGATCTTATCGCAAATGAAAGGTGTTGACTGCTGCTCGGAAAACTAGGTAGATCGCGTGTCGTCGTGGGTAGTGAGCCAGTTTGCCCTGCAGTCCAAGAACGATCAGTTCACGACATCAGCTCAAAGGTGGAAGCCTCCGAAGGTACTGGTGAGAGTAGCATACCTGCTGCCCAAGCGGATACGCTAAGCTGCCCGGAGATGGACCTGCTATCCAACTCCCTGGACCCTCATCACTGGGCCCTAAACAGCATGCGTCCTTCTCCAGCTGCGTATCCAACGCATCGCGAGGATCCGGAGGGGGCCTTAACAATTCCAAAAACGATTCGTTAGACTTCCAAAGCCCCCACACAAGATCACATAGTAGTCCCGAATGCACTGGCGCCAGTGTGACACAATCACTGTTTACAGTTGTTGTTGCGTTGTTGCACCGCCCGGTCTTGATGACTGGTGTATGACAGTTCGCTCACAGCAGAGCAAGATGACGTGCCACACGGCAGCAAGTCTGCTGACAGGTGATGAGCCGATGTCATGAAACTGCACTAGGTCCCCAGTTTTGTCCATGTTCGCGTTGAGCGACAGAATCCCAAGCCTCAACTTGGTTTTGTGGGCCTGGGCCGCAGATTCCGTTTCGGTACCTCAGCTATAGGAAACATGTACTGGAAAACTTGGGTAGCGTTCGCTTCCCCAGACTGTGTTGTTGGCATTTCCTCGCGGAGTTTACTGTTGTTGGTTTTGTTTTCTGCATGTCTGATTGGTCTTGGACTTTCTACAGTCTATATTGCTTTGGCTTTCATGTAACGCATGTGCCTTTCGTTAGCTTGTTATGTCTCTGGGTACCCTATGTTTTGAGGCTTTCGATTTCTTGTTTCTCTGCCTAGTCAATAGCTTGTCTTGCACCCTTTCTCGTCGATCTTGCGACCCTTGCGATGCATTTCTCTGAAATATGCACTTGCATGCGTTGTCCACATCATCAGACGTTGTGCGATGACTCTCCGTTGTTTGCTCGGCGGCGAGTCAAGGAAATCAGCTTCCCCTAGCGCTGTGGCAAAGTACACTTCCGAGGGTTTCCGGTTGGAGGCGGTTGGACTGTTGGAGCTTCGATGCTGTCTGCAGTACTGCTGTGCTGCTTGTTCTTCCTTCAAGCAACGAAGCAGGAGCCAACCCAGGCGGAGATTTGCACAGTCGGCAAAACTCCAACTACTTCCAAAAACCGTATCTGCCGTATCCCGCCAACCCTGATCCGTGCGACATTGAAGCCTTTCGGGTTCGGGGGCAGAGTCTGAGCTTCACGTTTATGCTGCATTTTTGGAATAAGAAGGCCCCGTGCTCAGGTTTTGGATTTGCAGCAGCAGTATGCCACGCTACAAATATGTTTTGAATCATGCTCTCATGTAAATGGTTCGAAAGGTGTTGAGAATTCTGAAGGTTGTGAAACGCCTGAAGTGTGGGATTTGTGGTTTACAACAGCGACTTGAAAATTTGCTGCTCCTACAAGCCATAACAACCTGCCTCTGTCAAGGCCAGCTGCTCAGTCGTAAACTCTCGAACTGGAGATTGCGCCCAACGGTCAACTCCCAAAGAGGTAATCAAAACTCTCCGTTCACAACGGTGCCTTGCACAAACGCGTGTCCTATAGTTCTAGCCAGGACCGCAGAAAACGGACATGCTTGCATGATATTGCCATTATGAAGGTGGCTACAATCCTGATCGCAAAAACATCGTAAGCACCCACACCCTCAGCTCCATGCTCCTGCGTTTCAACAACACCCTCGATCCTCATTCAAGCCCCAATACAAAGCCCGAGAGCTTCGGTGAACTCTCTCGCCAAACCCACCTGTTACCGATGTGTCGGAGTATGGAGAACGAGCAGCCTCTGCAGCAGCTGTGGCCGGAGCTTGGGTGCCAATTCCATCCTTGGCGGGGTTGGGTTTAGCAGTTTGGTAGTCATGGTCCCAGGGGGAACCTTCAGCACGACACCAGCGTTTGCATCTAGCATTCCCTGATTGATTTAACGGAAGGAGACAGGGAATCAGACATTTAGGGTGTAGGGCCGCAAGGGTTCGGGGTTTGGGGTGCCGGACTCCACGCACACCTTGTGGTCTGCAGGGTCTGGGGTGAAGGCCCATTTTCCGGATTGCTATTTACTCACCGCAGTTTTCCACAAGAGCCTGCTTCAACATGCGTCACTCCTGAAACTGAGAGATTTTCCAGCTACCAGGTGGCTTAAGGCACAGGAGGGAGATTTCAAGATTAGAAGTTGCGGTCTCGGAGTCAGATTGCCGCCAGGTGATGCTCAAGAAGCTACAGGTGCTGGTGTTGCCCTAAGCACCATGTTTCGATCAAGAGGTAATGGGGCTTTCTGGGTAACTTCACCGAAGTGCTGAGGGCTTGCATATCAGAAGAGGGATTCGGAATCGAGGGTCCAAAGGCCGAATGAAAGCCCTGAACAAAACTTAAGGCAATCTGTGCGACGGGAGGAACACCAGCTTGCCCAGGACGGCTAGATCCCGGCCATTACAGCTACACACTGCACTTGTTCTTGCTGTTGTCGACGTTTCTTGGCTTCGCGCGCTATGATGGAGCTGAGTAGCGGTAAAACTAGAGCAACCACAACAGTGTGTCCTGACATGGTCGAAACCTTGGGTAGGTACCAAGGTGTCACATGCGTGTCATGGGCCAGGAGTTCATTGAATCGGATACATATGGGAAGCACCGCCGAAAACTGCCTGAAGATTATCTTCACCGTGTCAAGAAAACTTCGCACGACTACCGTGAAAATTTATATGAAGAAAGAAGCTGAACGCGATCCCAACAGCATTGTGCAAGCGAGACTCGCGAGCAGTGCTTTGAACTTCTCCCACTGCTGCTCCTCGCGTGGATAGCCGCGGTGCTCGAAAGCGGCGTCAATCAGATCGGTGAAATTCTTGCCGTGCCGGGACTTCAACATGTCCAGCTGCTGTGCCGACGGAAACGGAAGGTTGTCCATCTGCACGAAGCCATGCTCTCCATGATGCTTCTCAATCCTGGGCTGTTCTTCGAAGCCCTTTGCGAACTACAAGCCTCGCTCCTTCTTAAGAAGATGCGATGCTAAACCTGACAAAAGTTCAAGACATTCAACGCCAAGAATCATGTAGGGTACAGGTACCAGAGCATTTGGCACCAAAGCTTGCAACTGCGGCTTCCCTTTCGGGCCCAGGAAAAACATGTTATACGCCGTCTCCATTGCCCGCATGAGATTGCTTGAACCGACCATGTCCAGCTTTGGCTGCCCGATCTCTGCTAGATGCGAAAGGAGCTGCAGTCCCGCCGCCTGGGACTGATATGCCTTACTTGCTGAGATGGTTGTGGAGGAAAGGCGACTCCTTTGATTGGCAGGATCTGTAGCTAACCTTCAGAATAAAGAAAAGATCACCTTAGCAACAGCAAAGATGCCGCGCAGTCCGTAAGGAAGGGGTCTTGGTAGAGACCATGCAGTGGGATGATGCCCCCACAGCAAGCTTCTGCCTGCACGCTTTGTGCCAGCATCGAACCCCGAATTCATCCGGATTCTGCACCCCCGACCTGCGTCCCACCCCTCACCCTGCTTATGAGCTCGTAAACATCCAGGAGCTTGTGACAGCTTCAAAGCTCGGGGGTGGCCAGAACCTGCGGACCGTTTGACCCAGAATTCAACACTGCGCCTATCGAGTTTCGAGTTCAGCGCTTTACTCCTGGTATTTGTTACGGCTATATAGAGTGTTGAGGGCTCGTCAGTTACCGTGCGGGCAGGCTCATGACTTCCATAGCCAGGGGACTGTGGGACTCATGTGCAGCAGATTCTGCTAGAAGCCTGCGCTATATAGCAATCAAAAGCCGGAACAACTGTGCAACTGTGTCGCTGAACCCAATCCCACACAACCTGATTTTATTTCGTAAAGCCCCTCTCCCCGGCCCATGAGCTTCGGCTTCCGAGCCTTGCAGCTTTGCTTGCATTTATTGCTCTTCTTGCCCATCCAGGAGTGCAGTTCGCCGTCAGAGCGGAAACGACGAATTCGTGTGGTGCACCTCGGGCCATCGCACTAAGCGCTCGTTTCGGTTTTAGTTCCTGTGCTTGCAGTCGGTCCGAGAAAGCCGCACTAAGTGGAGGAAATGAGACGGTTTCCAATTCTGCAGCTTGCCGACTTTCCTTGCCAAGCCGCAGCTTGGGTGCCTGGGCCGGATCGCCAGCCTCGTTGTGGATCTCATAGAAGCCTGTGGTTTTGGGGGTCCAGGGTCGAGGTTGCAACACGAAACTCAGTCATGCAACTGGCCCCGACCCCGCGGCAAGGGAATCAAGCATTCCCTTGCCTGCTTTGGAGGATTTGGGGATTTACTGTCGCGTGCAACCTCGCCTGCATCTTGAAATGACCGCGACAGCTTGGTGTTGGTCGCATTCACATCTACTTTCTGGCGGATATGACACGCCGAGTGCACGGCACCCGCTTACAGCATCCACAGCTTCGAAAACTAGTTTGCTGTACTCCACTACCCGCCTGATCTACCTGGCTCCGCAAGTGCTCCACACAACAAGTCAAAACAAGCAGCTGCGACTACGAACACGGGGTGATGGGGCCCCTCAAGTTCAAGGTGACTGCATGCACCTATTCTACTGCAGCCATGCCGTGTCCTTTGAAGCGCACTGGACACTAACACCGCAACCCTTACATCACACACCCCTCAAGCCCTGAGTCTTCTGGACAATCTTCCACGATCTCTGTGCCTGTGAAACTGTCTCTTCCGGCGGAGTGGATCTGGTAGTCGTCCTGAGAATGGGGCTGTGCTTCGTTTTCCTCGCGCTTGCTAGTGTCGCTTGTGACTATGACTACGGTCATGATGGTAGTTTGTAATGACAAATATCCGCACGTCTCTTTGTTGTCGTTAAGTGCGCCAGTGCGGACCGGAGTCGTCAATGTAGGCCTCTTGGCTGAAGTTATGGCCCAGCCGCAGCCTCAAGTGACTCTGCATGTTGCTGTGGGGGCCGAAGGCTTCTGTACATGGACATACAACTCCTCCAACCGCCACCCCCCTAACACTTTAACACAGAAGCACATTCGGACCGAGAGCGATGAACATATGTGCCCAAGCTGCCAGCTTTAGCCTACAGTTGGCCATGCCATGCGAGTGTGGATCTCATGGGCCTTCACTCCCTGACATGTACCCCGTGGCATGAGCAATTCGGCGCAAAGGAGTGTAGAGTTGCTGCTACGTGTCGCACCCCTTTGAAACGCTCAGCTACCCGACACCCTTCGGTAAACATGAGCAAACCACGGCAAACCCCTGTAAAGCACGACCTCAATTATGAACGTGATGGCAGTGAATTCGAAGTCGGGCTCAAGCTCTGCTAGAGGCAGGCGTGATTGACGGTGCTCTTGACCACAACAGTAATGGAGCACCTAGCACTGAGACAACTTGACAGAACACTCGCCATCAAGATACCTTTTCAATACTTGCGAGACTCCTGTGTGGCTTTCCTACCCGAGCCTACCTTCTGTCGCTGCTCCAAGCTATGCGGCTCTTTGACCTGTATCCCTAATAGTTGATGGTGCCCCCAGAGAAATACTGCCCATGCAGACATCATACTGGACACCGCAGGAAGGCGTGCAACAGGCATGCATGGATCAGATCTATCGCTGCATACGCCGAGAAAACCATGCCGCTCATCAGAAGTACCGACTGGGCGTTGAGAGATGGCCTCTGTGCTGCAATCTGAATCCCAGAAATGCGGTACTCCCGCAAGGCGAGCAGGAGCAATGCTAACGCACAAGAAGAAGCTGCGATGAACTCGTACCCAGCCCAGGCGTGTAAGCCGCATGGAATGCCAAAGTGGAGTTCAATGGAGAATCCAACAATCCGTGCCCATCCAGGGTACAAAGCCCAGAGGAGCATCGACAGGACAGCAAAAGCGTGTTCCTTCCGCTGCTTTGCACGTGCGAAGTGGAGAAGCAAGCCGAAGTGCAGGAAGATCATCACACCTCCCAAAAGATGTAGCCTGGGGCTGATACGGAGGCCGGATAAGCATGAAATCAAGGGACATTGTATGTTCGCATAGAACTATAGTGCTTGCCTTGCAAGAAAGTCTGCAGAAATCAGTCCCAGAGGCCATGTAGGACACCCTCCATACTCGAGAATCTCGAGGAGGCTGCCACTTCCGAAAGCTAGAACTCCCAGAAAGATCAAGAAGTATCCCAGAACTCGATGCACCTGGGGATTTTTGATAGAATTCACAGCTTCATGTGGACACTGGGGAGCAGCATCCTTGTGCGTTACTCACTGTGAAGATCCCGCGGGGCAACTCCTAGCCACACAAATCCCCCCACCTGACTGGGAACCTGTGGCAGAAGTCCCATGCCCAGCAAGGTTTGAGCAATCGCCAGTATTCCCCAAAGAGTAGCCAACTCCGCATGAGACTGCAAGATGGACCAAGGCACTGCGATTGGAAGCCCTACCTGGGAAGCTCAAAGAAATGGATCCCTAACACGAGCCCCAAACGGTCGGGTTCTAGCTTGTCCCACTTGCTACAACCCAACCTTTGTTCTGACCCTGAAACCCGGCTTTCAGACACTGCCACCTCAAACCACGGATCGAGGTGTAGCTGCCCCACGGTAAAGAACTGTAGCCACGAGGGTACAAAGCCCGCCAACGAGAAGATGATCACTGGCAGAGCAAGAAGCCCCACTGCTCGAAGCTCCTGGAGAGTCGAAATTGCACTTGGAGGAGCCAACATAGGCTGTTTCAAGTGTTGGGTTTAGAGTGTCTGCGTCAGGGGGCGTCCTAATTGGGTACAGGGAGTTCTGGTGCATGATTTTTTCAACAGCTCCTGCCGGTGAGTATGGACGACCAGCAATGGCTCCCCCTTGTCTCCAGATTGTGCCGCCATGAACTCTTGGGCTGTGTGTTGAGCACCCTTTTCCGTTCTCAGTAACTTCACCGTCACAGCTGATAGGGCATGGGGCCAGGGTCCAGGGGGGTAAGATGCAAAATCGGTTAAACACAGCTCAACTTTCGAAGTCTTTTCATTGGTATAGCATGGTTTAGCCATCAGGGAGCTAGCTCATGAACCATGTCAGACACAGCAGTCATGCAGGGATGCGGCTTTGTGTTGGTTCCGCCGTAAGCCAAGGGTGTGCCGACTGTCATCCCTGTGAGCCATGATGCAGACCCGAAGCAACACCGTGACCCCAAGAACAACCCCTTTACCCTTGGTGAAACTAACATTGAAGCCGAAAAGATGTCAAACAAACACACGAGTCACCACAAGTAGTCCCTTTGAAAAGGATGGCTTTCATGCTAGGTGTAAGTGAACGAGGATAGCACACACAAGAACCTGAGATCCAAGCCCGGTACCCGGGCAAAAACACGGTAGAACACCAGGTCGTGGCTAAGTATACGACTCGAGACGCGATAGTACGGTTGAAACAGATGTGGTACCTGCATGATGAAGACATTCACGTGATGCAACTATCAGGTGCACTTAGAGAAGACTAAGAAAGATCATCCACTATCTACACGTCAAGTCACCTTACCGACAAGATACGTCGCACGAGAAAGCCCAACAAACTCAGGCACTACGGAATACAAATCCACTCGACGACGAGCATGTTGCGATTGCCAGATCGCAAATCTTCTTGCCAAAGCGACCAAAACACTGAACCCCCTGGTTTGGATCGAAGGTCTGCTGGAGCTTCGGGACGGGTGCAGTACTGTGAGTTTCCTGCCGGCTAAGCAACTCTTCGGCGGCACCCCCGTTGAGTGCGCCGGGCACGGCGAAGTGGCGTCGGACTGCTGCCTCAACTCCACTTACATAAGGATGAAGCTCAGGCTTTGGTGTATACTTTGGTTCTAGTATTTCGGCGGGCTCCGATTACGAAAAGACTCAGCCTGTTGAGCCAGGCCCTGGCTCAAAATCCTGAACTTGTGTTCCACAGCTGTTGCCATTCTCAAAAGAAAGGGCTTGTCACCCGCCAAGCTGTAAATCCTCGATGCTCAACTTTCATGCCGCTCGTCAAACCTGGGTGAACAGAACAAATGAATCATTCAATGTCCACACCTGGAGTTTCTTCATGAGATGAACTGTGAGGTAATATGTGTCCCTTGCGAGTGTGCTTGCATTGGTGTTTTGACATATTGGCGTTCGCTGCAACTACTGAGCACGGAGCAACTTTCCTAAACCTTGGCAAACACTAACAAGCCTTGGTGCTTCAAACTTGCTGGGTAATTTATTGGGTGTGTTTTTGAAGGCTTCAGGGCGGCACGTTTAGGATTTGGGGAGGAGGGTTTAGGTTTCAGTATGGGAGTCTTCGTTTCGTATTCATGTCAGCCCCTTACTGCAGTTCTCGAATTTCTATTGGAGATGGATCCTAAGCTCGACATTCCAAAACCCTCGGTGCGGCCGTCCCCGCCTCCCCTTGGTTGGTACCCCCCCCCCCCCCCCCCACACACACCCTGTTTTCTGCCTCTGTCGCCGCACCGCACCACCAAAATGCCGATACTCCCTGCTGAGAGACACCGAAATGGGGTATGAGTCACTCAAATTAGGACCGCCCTCCTAAGGGCCCTGAGATCCGGTAGGCATCCGACTCCCTTAGCCCTTTTCCTTGAATTCTATGTGGGGGTTTCCGAAAAGTAAGGGTACCTTATTTTGGTGTTAGTGTGATCAGGATCCTACAAGTTAGGGTACCATCCCAGAACCCCCTAGTTTCGGAAACTCCCATATATAGGTGCTTGTCAAAATTAGGGTCCCTTTTTAAGGGTCCCTTTTATAAAAATAGGACACCTATCATTTAGGGTACCCAAAAAGGGACCCCTTTTTTTTTTCTCAGAACCTCCCAGAAAGACGTCACACCGAAGCCTCCAGCTCGGGCCGTTTCTCGCTGAAGAGCCGCTGCGCGAGGGCAGGTTCCTGCGATGCTCGGGCGAGGACCTTCGGGGGGGGTTAGGGGCCTTTAGGGGGGGGGGAGGGGGTTAGGGGCATATAGGGGCTTGGGGGGGGGAGGCGAGCTATGCTTCCTATGGGGGGTTGTACTGACTACTAGTCTGTGTCGTTTTTGTATACTCCGGCTCTTGTTTCTGAGGGGAGGGCAGGGGCAGGGAGGGGAGAGGGGCTTGGGCTCCAATCACGGAGCCACTCTGAAGCAGACGAGCACGAGTCATTCCAGAACCAAGAACAACGATTGGTTGATAGTTGCCATCTGGTGGGTGCGGGTACGTAAGAGTGCCGACATGGCAGGACGTCATAGACTGTTCGTCAACTTCCATGTGCCGTGCTACAGCTACTGCACCGGTTGCTGATCCTCTAATTAATCATCTGACTGCTGATTTTGCTGAAGCTACTAGTGTTACTACTGCTACACTGCTGCTAGTACTGCTACAAATCTGCTTCTACTGCTACAATTTACTAGAACTGCTGTGCCTGCTCTTACAGATGTGAAGCCGTGAATGTAGATCCGTGGAGCCACTTCCAAATTTCCGAAACCCCATCGTCAACACCCATTAATATCACCCACAGTGCCCTTGGCATGCACGGCGTCGGTCCCAAGCATCATTCCAGCAGCATCCCCAGGAAAACGCAAGGAAAGGAGCACACGCTGGACCGCGACGGGAGGCGGACATGCACATGACGGGCGGGAGCAAGGTTTGGACGAATCAAAAACATCGTAGCTGGATCTGGAGACCACACCAACGAGCCCCAAGGAGAACAGTCTAGGCATGCCTGCCTGCCAGCAATCCAATTCCCGTCACGCAGGGTATAACAAGCCCATGCATGATCAATACATCACTAGTGCAACGACCCGGGATTTTGAAACCAATGCAGGCCTTCGTGCACTTCGACTGGAGGATGTTGGCACAGGAGAGGCCGTGCCTTGGTAGAGTGCTCTCTCTGTGTTTCCCACTCTCGGAGGCTCGGAGTCGACACCTTCCTGAACCTTTATATAAAACGCGCAAGCGCTTTCTGAAGGATGGCGCTACCAGTGCTACCGTCACGTGCAACGGCTGGCTGCCACCCTTTATATAAGTCGTTCGATTGCACCGCATCGTCGTCGTCGTCGTCGCTGTCACAGTTATCCACACCCTCCCCAAAGCACTTGCTTTGGAAAAACAGAAACTGGATACGTTGTCAATACAATTAAACCCCATTTAGAGCAGTATTTCTCGTGATATTCCCATGACCATGTACATCAGCAACATTACAACATCGGACTTGTGTATGTGCACCTTATCTAGAGAATCCCGGGCCCAGCGCGTGGCTCGTGAAATGTGCTTCAATGTCGTTGCATCTTGGGTCTATAACAAAATCGTTTTGGGTGCCGCGGCCGAACTTCTCTGGGGCACTACAAATTCTACAGCTGTCCCAAACGTTCGGTAGCATGAGCGCGCACCTCAGCATTTTGAAGATGCAGAGGGCGGGGCTATGCTGAGCTCAGCCGAGTTACCGGACCCAAAACATGCGAATCTTCAAGGTTCTTGTCCGCTTTGTTGCTGGCGGCTGTGCCGTGAGGCGATATCCAGGGATAGCCGCGAAGAGAAGAAGAGGTACAAGGATTCTCGGATGCATCAGCTTCATCAGCGAGAAGCCCATGGAATGTTCAAGAGCGCGGCAAGAGAAGGATATGGAGTATTTCGGATCTTGTCTGCTTTGCTTCGGGTTTTCGGCTTGTGGCTTTCGGGGGTCGGCTCAGTTGAAGCGAAAGATGCACACTGTTGCAGACGACGTCAGGCTTAAGCCATGCAGAAACATGTCGCATGTGAGAAGAAACGTCGCCGTAACATGCTGTCAACAACTTTGCGCGGTGAGACCTTCGACGCAGCTGAAAAACCTACCTACGCGACCAGTCGACCATGTGTCTTATATATGGTACCACATGTGCATCCTAGCTGTCGATGCAAGAACAGCGCGGCTACTGATTCAGAGACACGTCTGCTGGAATCTGTGAATCTGGTCCTGTTGAAACCAAGCTCTGTGCTTCCAGGACATCTGTTGCCAGGAAACAAAATTGCCAAGCTCCACCTCATTGGGCGGCCTGGCGATGTAGCCGGTCATTCGAATGAGAGCTTCTCAGTGTCCACCAGCATTGAGACCGCTGCAGGCCTTCATCTTGGGACGGCAGTTGGCCTTCACGCAGTGCGTGCACGCCGGTGCCTTGTCGTTGGTGATGCCTGCAGGTGCTGAGCTTGGCTGCTGTTTCTACCCACTGTCGGAACAAAGGGAAATGTTTCTGCTGATGCTGAAGACCAAGACACATTGGTTCATGCAGTGGTCCCTCGAGCAGCCCACCAACTGGGCCATGCATGAAGCACAGCCGGCCGAGTAGCCCTTCTTCTGCATGCAGTCCTTCCATTGCCATGCCATGGCGCTAGTCTGTCTTACCCGTACTCCTCATCTCCTTCCAGCTGTGCTGGAAAACCCTGCCTATAGACCCTGTCCTTGGTGCACGGAAAGCCGGCGGCGCAGGAGCGGCCGCAGTGGTTGAGGGCAGAATCGAAGCTCTTCCTTCCTCCGCCCTTCCAAACCCCCATGTCGGCGGCATCGGTGCAGCCGCCACCCTCGAGCTCAGCTTCCTCCTCCACCTGCGTGGACTCCTCCTCGTCATCCTCCAAGGCCTCCAGGTAGTGGACCTTGATGCCGCGCAGCTGGTTGAGCTCCAAGCTGCAGTCGCCACCAGCAGCGCAGGTGTCGTCCGTGGCCATCGCAGCTTCGATGTCATCGCTGCGCGCGGCCACAAACGCGAGAAGGGTCACAAGGATGCGCAGTGCCATGGCTTGCGGAGATGGGCACCAAATGCAAATCACTGTGGACCGGTATGACAGCTGCGAGTGCTCGAGCCCAATTAATTACATTTGGCTGACAAGGGGCAAGGCTTTTGCCCAAGGCTGCACCTCTGTCAAACGTAGTGTGACCAGAACACCGCTGACCTGCATATGCCCGAACACCACAAAGCCCCAAACCCAACACTAGACTGTTGACCATTATCATGTAAACCTGCTACTTCCTCCCGGGAGCTTGCCTGGTTGCACTCTGCCGGGGCAACTTCCTGAGCAAGCATGAGTTGACAACGAATTGGGGTTGAACATTTGGTTGTTGAGGGTTCGGGTAGAGCCGCGTAGAGAGCTCAGAGTCGGGCCTAGTGGCTCACAATTGGCGGTTGGACGTTTGAAGGTGTATGTTGAGTTGCGAACCATCGCATGGCGGCGATTCCTGCCCGTATCAAGTAGAAGTCGTTCCGCAACGAAGGCTTGGTGTCATTGTAGTCGATCAGCAAAATGTCACATTGACATAATCGAAGAGCCGAAGACTGCCAACAAGAATGCAATGCTCACATTAATTAGGTGACCAGAGATGGACTCTCGAGACGACAAGAGTCAAACCGTAAAGATTTGAGGACGGTCGCAAGTGAATGCTGCAGTACGAACCCGTGAGACTTGCATGTCTGGACAACAATACACAACTCCTACGTATGCTATGTGCAAAGCCCCGGCATCCACCCGGACTAAGAATTACGGAACACATGGAAGAAGAAAGGTCGAAACCCATGGGCTCAACTGCAGGATGGCGACTAACTTGCCAGCCGTCCGTCGCACGGCGCCGCCTTTCGCGCAAACATGTTGTCCGTCGTTCAGTGGAACTAAACAGGGTTTACAGAGGTAATTAGCAATGTTGGCTGAGGATTCCCCACTGAATCCTCAGGCCACTCGCTCCCAAGCGGCTGGCCTTCTCTTCGTGCGATTGTGTCCACCCGGACCTGTCAGCGCCGAGCCATTGGGCTTCAACGCTCCCGGACCAGCTTCCAGCCACTCAAGTCAGTTCTAGTCCGAGGGCAATGCGCAAAGAACGCCAGGAGCAGGCATGTCATCCTCGCCATGTTATGTTAGGAGCCATTCATTCGCACATAGAATGTAGATGCACATGTGCATACATGTAGCCTGTCGGACTGTCTGCTCCTACTTATGTGCAAATTGCCACGGTGTACGAACAGTCCAGCCACGCGCGCACACACACACACACACATGCGCGCGCGCGTGCGTGTAGGCCTTTGTGAGCGTGTGTGGGTGCTTGTAGAAGATACAGCATGGTAGCATAACATAAGACTACCATACGAAGTCGTCATGGCCCTGGAGGTAGCATGGAGGTGCAGTATAGGCTCCAGTGCCACACATGCATGCTCCCATCCCTCCATCCACCCATCCATCCGTCCGTCCATCCATCTTTCCATCCATACACACGTACCTAGAGGTGTACGCGTACACACATATATACCTGCATAAATGGGTAGATACATACATACGTACGTGCGTACACATACACACACACACAAAGACAGAGAGAGAGAGAGACAGACAGACACAGAGAGAGAGAGAGAGACAGACAGAGAGAGACAGACAGACAGACAGACAGACAGGCAGGCAGGCAGGCAGGCAGGCAGACAGAAAGACAGACAGACAGACAGACAGGCAGAAAAACAGACAGACAGACAGCCATCCAGGCAACCCCACACAGCCAGCTGGACTAACATTGACATACACACAGAACAAACGAACGAGCAAGCCAATATGCAACACACGCACACACAAACAAACCAAGACAAACAACCGACCAAACACGCCAGCATGCAAACAAATCAAACATGAAATCACCAAAATAAACATGCAAGCAAGCAAACGAGCGAGCAGACTCACAAACACACTTCTTACCTACGTACTTTGACTTGCACATGCATGCACAGTTACATGTACATCCATCCATCATTCCATGTTCTCCGTCCGTCCGCACTTGCGTGCAAGGATGCAGGAAAGCAGGCAGTAGTGGCCGACTGACTGAAACCTGATGTGAAACCAATAAGTGCATTCCTTCTCTTTCTCTCAATCTCTCTCTGCAATCATGCATGTGTGTGTGTGAGTGGGTGAGAAGAAACTATCAAAGCTTTCTTTGTACACGCATTCTACATACCAATGTGAGATAACCGCAGCATGCACACAGCAGGAAATGTACCAATGCCATATACTTTGACGGCATCGAGGGCTTCGGATCGTCGGTTGCGAACACATGCCAAAACGCCGTCAGTCCGAACCACCAACTGTATACTTGAAGAGCACGTCCAACCGCTGTGCAACAAGATGCGCTAGACCCCAAACCTAAGCATCTATGTAATCTCTTCCCCCGCCGGTGAAGAGACAACGCAGCATTGAAAACAGCGTTTCCATGAGATGAGCTTTGATTTTCAATTGGGGCCATCTTTAGCGTACTCTAAAGCCTTCACGTGGGCAGGCCGCAGGCCCTGCAGTCCCAGGGTACTGCAGCGCCTGCAGTCCTACGTGCTTGCGGCCTCTGCTGACCGCAGCATTTGCACTCAAATCAACTCATACAATCTAGCAGCTAGCACACACTCGCTCTTGTAATCGCAAGGTTTCGGATGATGGGATAATTCCTAAACATAAACTCTGCGAGGACCTAAGCTTCGGTACAGTTATAGGTCCCAACCCTCTACCCGGAAGGATCTTCGGGGTCTCCCTAATAGCACCTACTTGTATTGTCCTCTTGGCCCTTCAAAACTCGTCTTCGGGCGCATTCCGGGCCAAATGCCTTCCAGGAATTAGGTTGTGATATTTGAGGAGGGTTTGCTACTCGGAGGAGGTGATCATGTGTGTATTCAGTGTACGCATTCGTTCATACATATTCTGTGTATATATGTGCATACATGCAGAACAGGAAGGGACATGATTTTGTGTGCCCATGTGACAGCCGGATTTCTGTGTGATCAAGGTACCCCGTGGAGGCAACGAAGAGAAACGGTCCTCGCACTTGGGCACCGCAGCCCCAAGCCGAAAACCCGACACCCTGTAGGATCTCCCTTACTGTCCTTGCAAACGCTGAAGCGTTCTAGGAGGGGGTGGACGAAAGCATCCATCAGGATGTCGTCTTCCTCCAGCGGAGTGCAGGATGCACTAGATTTGCAGTGCGGGGTCTGTCTGATTTGCACGGTTTAGGGATGAGGGGATTTGAGACGTCAGCTTATCGAGGAGGTTTTTAGGTCAGACGTCAGCTTAGGCTGATCTCTTTGGTTTGGTCGACTCCTTCGTGTCAAAGTATAGTGCTTATGGGATGGATCTGTGCACCCGGCATTCATCAAGTTCAGCATAATCGGTTAAAGGACAGGAAAGGCCTCCCAAGCCTTTCACTCTCAACCTACCCTGAATCCTGAACTGGATCGTCTCCAAGACATGAGGGCGAAGCTCGGTTACCACATCCGGTGTCATTTTACATGACAAGGCGGAAATCGGCGGAAGCAGTCAAGCCCATGACACGTTCGTAGTGTCGCCACTTCTTGGTCTATGTCTATGAGGCACCGTATGGCAAAGTTCAGCGTATCTCGAAGACATTATCACCAACTCCGGCCAGACGGACAAGCCGTGAACCAATGCATTGCGGCCGTGCCTCCTCCGTACCTGCAGGCGGCAGATGGAGCTTGTGATGGCCTACCTGTAGACCTGAACAATGACGGCTACTATTGGACGTACACAAAAGCAAGGACACGCCCCTGTGGACCCTCTGAAACAACCGGCTTGCTGCTGCGCAGGGTACCG